CATAGAGTACGTGAAAAACTGCCAATAGGAACTCATTATGATTGTTCCTGTGAAACACATTTCAAACTGATAAATGCCACGGTAATTCAATGAGGAATTCCAATTAGGAACTGATGATGAGTGTATCTGCAAAACAGAGTTATACTCTAAGTGTTCCTGAGGAATTGCTATTAGGTATTGATTATGAATGTACCAGCAGGATACATTTCAAACTCATAAATGCCACTGTGCTCCAATAAGGAATTCCGATTAGGAATTGATTATGGATGTTTCTGCAAGACAGAGTTTATACTAATAGAGTTCATACGAAATTGATATAAGAAACTCATTCTGAATGTATCTGCAACACACATTTCAAACTCATAAATGCCACGGTATTTCAATAAAAAAATTATAATAAGGAACTGATTGTGAATGTATCTGCAAAACAGTTTATACTCAAAAATTACCATTATAAATGTATCTGCAATACACATTTTCAAGTCATGAATGCCACGGTATTTGAATGAGAAATTCCAATCAGGAACTGATTATACATGTATCAGCAGAACAGAGTGCATACTCAAAGACTTCGAATAGAATTGCTATTAAGAACTGATTATAAATGTATCTGTGAAACACAGCTGATACTCATTGAGTACATGAAGAACTGTCAATAGAAACCCATCATGAATGTACCTGTCAAACACATTTCAAACTGATAAATGCTACGGTGTTCCATTGGGGAATTCCAATTAGGAACTGATGATGATTGCTATAAGGGACTCATTATGAATGTATCTGCAATACACATTTCAAACTCATAAAATGCCACGTTAATTCAATAAGAAATTGCAATCAGGGACTGATTTCAAATGTATTTGCAAAACAGAGTTCATACTCATAGAGTTGCTATTAGAAACTCGAACACATTCCATTCTCATAAATGCCACAGTGTTCCAATGAGGAATTGCCATCAAAATCTGATTATAAATGTATCTGTAAAACATAGTATTCATACTCAAAGACTTCGTTGGAAATTGCTATTAGGAACCGGTCATGAATGTACATGCAGAACACATCTCAAAATCATGAATTACGATGTTTTAATAAGGAATTGCCATTTAGAACCGATTATGAATGTATCTGTGAATTACAGTTCAAACTCATCGACTCCATTGAGGATTGCCATTAGGAACTGATTATAAATGTAACTGCAGAATACATTTCGAGCTTATAAATTACTGTTTCACTATCCAACTTGACTCTGATATATTCTCATATGTAAATAACCAGGAATTACTAGTAGAAACTGATTATGAATATATCTGCGAAAAACAGTTCATACTTTTAAAAAGAAGGGAGAGAATCGCCATTAGAAACTGATTATATATGGATCTGCAAAATACATAGGATTATACGGAATTACTGTTTCACTATCCAACTTCATTCTCATTAATTCTCATATATATTTTTTTATAAGTTTCTATGAGACATTTTTGGCAGGGGGCGGATCCAATGTGACACACGAGTTTTGTAATTATGATCAGATTCTATTCAAACCTTATATCAGGGGATTTTCGGCATCGGAAATTATGATTCCTTGGTCAAAATAAATTCAATTCGGAATCAATATGGCAGATGAATTTTGTAATTATGATATATTCAAAATTTGTATCTGAGGGTTTTTTGTACAAAATATGATGCCGAAATTGAAACAGTTTTACTTGAATCATTACGCAGTGGAGTTAGTCGATAGTATATATAGACATGAAAGGAATACTTAGGTATGCCAATTCGATAAAACTCCATCCCGAGAAATGTAAAGAAGCACACATAAGTAACTTTCTGAGAACTCATATGTCTTTGAATCAAAATCCTATCCTTTTACCATACTATGTAACGGGTATAAAAATAATCATAATGAGGCTTCAGAAGATGAGTCATTCACTTTATGATATTCGACTTACTTTCGCGAAAAGTCATAAATCAGCCCTGAAAATCACATAGGTATATAGCTGAATTCCTGATTACATTACTCAGCCAACGAGGTGTAACAAGATGATTCTATACAGCCTGTCCCACTTCAAACGGTTTCTCCTTTATATATCAGCTATTAGTCTTACGATTTTTACCAAATTTGGACCGGTATGAATAACTATACTGAATAACCATCAATATGATCAATTTTTCAGAGACAATCATCATTTTGGACAGTGCCGTGTATTTTTATTGAAATGAAAATGGTTTCAAACCCCCATATGAATATTTTCATATAATTTCTATAAAAGGTTTCAAAGGAACAGGCAGATCTAAACATATACAGACTGTTTTTGGTTTTTGAACGCGTGAATAATTATTTACTCAGAAACAGACAGTACAAAAAATAAAAGTATATCCTGGTTTTTTGTCTCAAATCATCATTGAACGTTTCAAAATTTGCAGTTGATTCAAACTCAGTATTTTTCGAGGCAGAAAACATGAGGAGCAATACTATGAAGTAAGTTTACCTGCAAAAATCCTAATATAATTTCATAAAATATCAACCTCTTTTCATTCCCATTGAAAGGTTCAAATGTCCAAAAGGATGTTCATCTCTGAAAAACTGATAATATTGATGATTATTGATACCGATCAGAATCTGGTGAAAATCGCAAGACTATAATAGTTGAGTTATATACCTATATAGAATAGAGGAGGGGTCTGGTTTAATAAAGATGTCCTGTTCTTGATGAGAATCGCCTTATTTCGGAAATATTAATATCATCACTATTAGATATCATTGGTGATTTGAGTGGAAATATTTCCATTGGAAATATTGCCATGGAAATGGAAATATAGGAAATTCCCGAGAGTGTCTTGGGACTATTGAAAATATTGGAAATATTCAAACCTTTTCAAATCCGTTCATTATGGTATATCATTCATATTCAGCACTAAACTCACTATAGAAAAAACACATATACCCACATCTCGAAATTAGCCTGTCGAACTTCATCACCGGCTTCTACGACCAAAAATAGGAAGAAAAGTTCAGATGAACATAAATGTCTCTTATATGAGGGAGCTACAGCCCCCTGGAAGGGGGGTCCTAAATATGATATTTCTTGAATATTTCCGAAACACCATGTGATATAATAATGCAATTCGGTACAAGAACTAAACTTTCCATCGAGCTTTCTATGCCCAATGCAGTGAAAATAAACCATTCCAAGATTTGCTCTTGTTCCGAATCAATCAGAGATGTATCATTTTCGAGGAAAATCGCTCAGAAAATATTGTACCTTCTCAATACATATTCGTTTTATTGTTAATTTTTACTGTTTTATATAATTTTATAAAAATTGTATATCGCTACTTCGATGGGAATCAACACCCCAGAAGTCGAAACTTGTGCGGGGTTAAAGGGTGAGCGAGACCTACGTGGAATTCAAACCACTTCTAGGAAATCGAGGTGCTGTTAGGCTTAAAACCAGAAATTACATATTTTTGAGAAAAATGCTCAACCAAATGCTCATTGTGAATAATCACATCAAGGGAGCATACATATGTCCATCATCAGCCTAAAAAGAAATTACATAGTCCTACAATGAGAAAAATTAATTAAGTAACAAGAGGAATCCTTACCATAGAGATAGCTTACATGAAGATGGAACAAATTTTATAACCGTAGAGAATTGAAAAACATGAAAGTTGAATGGTTAGTTGTTTTCTAGAGGAATAACCATGAACACCTCCATAGATGGGCATTATGGTGGATGATAAAAATCTAAAGAGGCCCCTAACATTTGGGGCACTTCCATGAGCAAGTTGATGACACAATGAAGATGAAGATATATATTTCTATCGTCAACAAAAAAGTTATTATTTCGGATGAAATTTTCACTTCCCGGTACATGAAGTGCAGATATCCAGATGTATGTTGCATGTCCGAAAAACCAAACTTCTAATTCGAAAGGCATTTTCTTTATTAATAAAAAATTTCATCTGCGAGGCATTCATTGTTCATCACAATAATCAACTGAATTGACTAAATCTTCATATGAATATGAAATAATTCAACACGACATGCCCCCTTCATTAGGCCCGCGAATGTATTCAATATTCACAAGTCAAAAAGGGAAAATGTGTCCATAGACGATTTTTTGAAGGATTTGCTAGAAACAATCAGCATTTATCGGTTGTCTTTGTCTAGGCGTACTGGCAACGCTGTACGACAAATATTATGATGGTCAGACATTTTATGCGATACTCGTGGACAGTAGCGAAACTACTTTAGATTATGACTATTACCAGCAGAGGCAGCACTTGCTGGAGCGATTAATCTATTTGAGAGGAATTTGGTAAGGGGTTTTGAAAACCCTATTTGAAAATCGAATAAATCATTGTTTATGACTGAAATAGGACTCAAGTTATCCGTATTCGTTACATCTTACATGAATAATCAAAATATATATTTTTTTATTACTATAGATTTTACAGCAACTTTCAATGATTAATTCACTATTGTAGAAAAAATGTAAGTTCAAAAATCTTCAAAAAAATCAGGCATATTTTAATTCTTTGTTAAAAACTGCTGTGACATTTTGACAAAAATTCATCGAACAGTTTTTGTGAAAACTGAAAAAAGCCTATAAAAAAAGGAGTTTTAATTTTTTTTCTCAAAATTCGTTCGATAGATTTTCATCAAAATCTCACAGGAGTTTTCAGTTAAAAACCTTGATATACCAGATTTTTTTCAAAATTTTTGAACTTGCCGTTTTTTTTCACGTGGGTTTACATGAACCTTAACCAGGTATTACTACAACAATATGATTTATCGCGATACCAGTATGATGGATAGTTGTGTAAGTCATCCTTGTATTGGAATGTTACGTAACAGTGGTGAAACTAAGTAAACGAAGTAGACAAATATTTCTGTTTTGGTTCGAACAATCAGTGTTTTATACATTATGAGCTTGTTCGTTATATCAGGTATTCGAAAAATTTGATGGGATGAACTGAGAATAAAATTGCTATACCTTCTCCTTCAACACCAAGAACGGACTTCATGAAGTTCAATTCAGTATCCACAGCAAATAAGTAGAAGTATATTGGGGTATTACTGGATTCCAAATGATGTTGTGCAGTTTTATATATCTCATAAAGGAAGAAGTTGTGACCGTACACCTGCAAAAAACAGCATATTATAGCATTTTTTATGTGAAGAAAATCGAATGCATTGTTGGCTAGACAGTGGAAACTTTGGAAGTAATATAGAAATAAGTGCATCTTGAACACATAAAAAGTAGTATTGCACTGGTACACTGCTGAAAATGGCAGAGAGCGGTACATTGGTATTGTAACCGATACGTTAAACACCTATTCGTCAAACATAGTATATAAGATGTATTTCGTTAGGTCTTTTACCAATTTCTATGTTTGAGATGCAGTGTTCGAAATTTCAAACAGTTTTGATAAGATAACTGATTACTTGATGAGATATCGTTCTTCAATCTAGTAGAGTAGGTACGTCAACGTAACGAGTCACGTTATACAGTAGGATGAAACAAGAAAAGAGGAGTTAAGTTGCCACTGATGCTTCTTTTTTTCTGTACCTGCGCCAGTGACTCATATTTTAGACATATAAAACAAGGGCCAAAACTATTCACATCATCTCTGGAAAGAATCATTTAATCGAAATTATATAAGATACTGATAATGATCCAAAATGATTGAATCTTCTGAAAATAACTAAGAATGAGTCTCAGGCGCTGGTACTGAGATATGGGAGCAATTATTGTGTGCTTCTTTACAGATATTTATAGAGACCTAGAGGTGATTGAGTGAGTAGTTGACTCGATGATTCGCCAATTGTTAGTTTCATTCAAAAGATAAGACTCGTTACGCTGATGCACTTAACAGCGAAATTGAAATCAACATCTTATAGAATATTCCAAAGACATTGAAAAAAACTGGGTTTTGAATAGAAATAGTATAGAGAAAATCACTTCATTTTCGTTTTGGGAAGTGAACAAGAACTGCCAGTGCTGTAACTTCTGGATCATTTGTGGTCAGATTCTGAAATGTGGCGGGTAGAAAGTATACCAAATTGATCAATAATTATTAACAAAAACTATTTATTTCATCAATTCCACTGAAACCAACCCCAACTATCTTGATTCAACAAATAAAACACCTTGTATATTTTTCATGTTAAACACAAACAGAAAACTTTTTCAGATGAAAATATCAGCTAAACAATTTTTTCATCGGTATTTTGACAAACAAAAAAACTTTTTGACTATTTAGATATAAACGAATAGTATAATGTGCCATGGCTCCAAAAACCAACGATATTGCCGACAGAAAGAATATATCGGATTGAAAATGAACCTTCTCCGGAATGAGGGCACGAAATAATTCATAAACTGATTTGTTCTACATTTCTTTTTCTGTATCTACTATTTCTCAATCATCAACACATGCAGAAATTCCTGAATTTCAGAAAAACAGAAGTCATCAAGTTTTACCTGATCAACTTTCACAATGTATATGACGGAGACTTGACAACTTATGAAAAATCCGCGCAGGTCACCTCAATTTTGAAGGAGAAACAGATTATTAAATCATGTGAAAAGGTCTCGGGCATTTTCCACAAATGCCTGTGAGTCTTAAGAATGCCTCTGCAACGCGTTTTGCACACCGACATTCTTCTTACTCAACTCAGGATATACTTGAAAGATATCATTCATGTATAATCTCTGCAAAAAACACATTATCAATCTGACTAAAGTTTTCCAGAAAACATCAATACTGCCCACAGTTATTATGGAACATCAATATTAGATATACCACTTGCCAATGAAATTCATTACAAAACAAATATTCTAGAACGTCTATTGGCATCAAGAATTATTCTCATAAAATAGTAACAAGGCAACATTTTGAAGGACATTACTGATATATTATGAGAAGTTACCACGAAGACGAAACCAACCCCCGCGGTATCCCAAATGGACTCATCATTGGCCTGGACTAGAAACTGATGTTACCAAATACATAACATTTTCTAAGATTTGTAAACTGATGGATACGACCGAAATCATCTCAGGCCTTTGTTACTCGTAACTTATTATAGACTCTCATGTTTAGTATCGATGGATGATGCAACTGCAATGAAAAATTCAGTCGTTCAATGATTCTTTGAGATGCATGACAACAGCACACTATATCACGGTCAATAATCCATAATCTAATGGAGCAATATGAAGATTGCATTTCGCTATCATAAAGCATTCAAGAGTTCATAAAAAGCTGAAAATGATGATAAAATCGCCATATTGGATTGTGCCTTATGCAATTCTTGAAATTCATTGCACTTTCTGACAAAACATGAATCTTTCAATAGTGACGAATTAGAAACCAAACGCCCATCTGACATGAACTTGAATGAGAGTCAATTCAATAACCATACATCGGGGGCAACAGCACAAGAATAATTCCAAAAAACTAACTGAACAGCTGACACAACAAAGACAGAAAAAAACTCGTGAAATATGAACCTGACTTCAACTAATGACAAAATATATATGAAAGTTTTCAAGAGATATATCAAATTAGCTACTATAAGAAGAAGACTCCACCACTGTTCCGTACGGAAATGATCAGAATAATAGTTTATATTATTTATGTTCCACAGTTCCACAGTTCTTTGCGACAAAAGTACCATTTTGCTGCACTTTATAGTTGAACTCGATAAATATTTGACATAGATGTAAGCGCGGATCAGCCAACAAGGAGCAATTATGTGGATGTATCTGTATTTTCCAATTCATTTCCCCTGTCCTAGTCAAAAACATATTCGTTCAAAGAATTAATGGGATGTTTGGGATCAATGTAGATTGCGTGGTATAGGGAGTACGTTGCGAAGCTGCCTTCTTGATGATCTTACAGGATTCTCAGGAGAATATTATTACACTAATCGCTCCTTAAAACGCATTCTTCCTGAAATGCACGTCGCTCATCATGGAGGAAGGGACAACTGGTTTCTTTTCTACAACGTGACGTATGGTAGAAGTAGCACGGTAGTGCCTTTTCTCTAGAATTTCCTCTGGGGTTCCAGCAACATACCAGAATTTCAATTCCTGTGGAACGAAACACAACCTCTAGCAGGTTTCTCACAATTCTTCAATTCAGACCATCCAAACCACAATCCAGCTTTGGAACAGCTATTGTCTGTATGTTTTGGATAGGGCGCTTCGTAACTCGACTTACATATTGCAAATGTCCTCATGAGTGGGTTTTCCAGACTTTCTTCTCTTTGTTATCAGATAAAAGAGTGACCTCTTGCCTCCAGGACTGATATTTACCATTTCTAGATCTTGGCCAACGGATGGACCCTGTTGTTGAAGCTTCCTCAACATGCCGTATTTCTTCATGAACATGTTGGCTATTCCTCGAGGCATCTGGCGATCCTGAGCATATTCTACAATAGTGGCGAAAAGGTCGCGGTGTTCTTCCTTGATCGAATCTTGCCATATATGCCTATCTCAATGATAGAGGAATCACGAGGGCTATCACCTGTCAAGCGTTGTTGGTCGAATTTCGAATCACCCTTCGGAAATATGTGGATACATGTTAGAACTAATGGGATGTTTATTGACTAATCTGGTATGCGTGCTAAAGGAAGATCATTGTGATCCTACCTTCTTGATGATCTTCAGCCCCTCTTCGTGGAATTTCATTACAATATTTTTGATTTTTCCATTTCGCCATGTAAGAAAAGATCAGTTTCACTTCCCGTTGCACATGATGTCGGAAGTTTTTCGAAAAAAAAAGGTATGTAAGTGCACTTGATTATTGTTAATTCAAGGCTGATTCATGCGAGGCTCATTATAATTACATTTTCATTATATTATGAATTGATAATGTTGAAAACTCATATTTCATAGAATGCGTTCATGCAACACATTAACACATTTTCATCACATTTTCAACACATTAGTGCACTAAGAAGTTGACCAACTATTCATTATAATTACATTATAGTTCTAGTAAAAACGACTCAAATAAAATTATTGTATATTATTATTGCGAAGTACGTAGTCTTACTAATTATGAAAGAGTTGATGATAAATCAATCATTATAATGGAGTACGGTTGGAACAAGGATACTCAAAAACTGTCTGTAGGTTAATCGAGGAGGTGGTACAAATCTGAAACAATGAAGAATACTCAAGTTCCTATTTTTGTCAAATTCGTAACAAGGAGTTATAGTAATGATACTAATATTAAGATATGGTCGCCATATGCATACCAATCTCGTCACCTACCTATACGACTAAAGATTACGCATTCCAAGATTTATTGTTATAGATTTTCTTGTTATGACATAAAAACAAAGACAGAGAAACGTAAATGACATCAAAGGGTTTTCAACCGCGAATTAAGTTAGTCAGCAAAAGTAGTCAGTAATGGTGGGTAGTAATGATAGTTAAAAGTTAGAAGCAGCGAGTAATACCGTGGCGGAGCCAGTAACTCTATCGATCTCGAATCAGTGGAATTCTAAGTGTTATTGAATTATTAGTGAAGAGCGAAAATAAATACCCAGTTACCAGTTCGAATGAAAGTGTAGAGTGAAACCATGGGCACGCAAGTATTATCATTCCATTTCTGAGTACCCTTGACCTCGATTCAATGCAAAGAAGATATCGAAATTGAGCCATAAAAAGCGCAGTTTTCCACAAAGATGAACTGGACAAATGTGAACATATAAATAATTATTAGTTTTATTGCGAATCAAATTATCTTATAGTCAAATAACTACCTGTGTGATAAAAAGGTATAACATCGAGAACTCGAAATTGGTCGCCATGGTGAACACCACCTTTGTTGTAGCTGAATCTGTATAAATTATTGCCACTTCAACAGGAAAAATATGGCTTCAACGAGACCTATTGGTATGCAAATAAAGACTCTTCTCACTGTGAATTCGTAAATGGAGTATGCATCTAAATTCAAATATGCAAAGAGGTAAGTTGAGATTTTTTAATTCTTGTGATTATGTAAAAACTCAAATCTAAACTCAGCATAATTGAAGTTTGGTGTAGTCTCAATCTTGAACACATTTTGGGAATTCTTCCTCATCAAATGTACTTGATGATTAGCATTTGAATAATTTTCTTCCTAGTCATGAAGCCCGAACTCATATTATTGAATCTTGTCTGCAAACCAAATACCATATTCGCCTTTCATACCGCTCTGAATCAACATCAACAACCATGATTACCAACATCTAGAAAGGGTTGAGCAGCAGACAATATCTTCCAGAATATCATCGTTATCTCTATTGATAACCAGAGATATCAATGCGACAAGCAAGTCGTCAGTTAGTTCACCATCACCATCTTCATCACTATAAGAAACGGGTGGATCAGTTTCATATTGCAGGTGTCCTAACAATGAAGACACGATATTGAACAGAAGAGCCTGGCCTTCTTATAAACGCATTTTTCTGTGCAACCCATCTTGCACTTGCAGAATATTTTATTTATTCATTCCATTCCCAAGCCATCTCATCCATCAGTGTTGTCTCTGATGGCAAAACCTCGAACGATTATGAGTGATTGCTTCAGTAAGAGAAAGAGAAGACATGTAAGAGGTCGAAAGAAGATTTTATGTAGGATTTGTTGCGAACCTAATTCAGTAACGGCTCATCCTAGATGGATAATAGGTCATATAATGCCACAAAAAATTGGTTTCCTGTGTCAATTACAGCCTCATGTGTCGAATCTGGCTCTTTGAAAGTTTCAGTTACTTTGTGGAGGTCAGGTTCATTTTCTATAACTCCAATGTACTTGATTCTCCCATGATTGAATAGACCTCAAGTGTGTGGGGAGCTGTTGTCCACAATCGCCTGCTCCGCGAAATGATACGCTAACTTCAGCCCGCGTTCGTACCCAAACGGTATATAGGGCAGAACACATAAGATAAGATAAGATAAGATCTTTATTTTCCAGTAGAAAACACAACAGTATAGGAATAGTCAATAACTCAAATTTAGGTAAATATAAAAACACGAGAAATTTGAAATTTCAGACAAAATCAAAAATCTGAAACCACAGGTTTGAGATTTAAAAAATGTCAATCCCAATGAGAATTCTCCTGAAAATATTTTGAAACAAACATGCCAACATGTCAGAATAATTACTTACAGACAAGACGCTACGGTTCTACGACATAAACTCTTCAACACTATACACTATATACACACTATACAGACATTTTTCTAGTAGAAATTCTCGCAATTGTTTCTTGAACGCAAAACTCGCTTTTGGGAAATAAAAACATCGTGTGAGGATACAGATAAACCCCATAGGCATATACCATATCGCAATCTACTGTCAGCTTGGGCATAATGAAATGATATGATAATGGAATCATTTTTGATATCAGTGATTGACAGTGAATTTTCCAGTCCATACATGAATCTATTTGAAATCCTAGAAACGTTATAACGTTACTATTACTTGAGACATAGTGCTTTGAAGCCTCATCTGAGCCGAATGTGATATCCTGACACAATTTTTGACGGTTATGAAACCTTATCGATTGTGTTTTTCCAACATTCAGGAACAGCTGATTTGCAGAATACCATTCGTGCAATCTGGAAAAAACTATGTTGCATTTATCTGTCAAGGCCAGATCGGTTTTATCTGATATGATCACGGATGTATCATCTGCATATAAAGTTAATGATGCCGGTACTGATAAAATACTCAGATCATTGATGAAAAGGATGAACAATACCGGTCCCAAAACCGAGCCTTGCGGCATACCAAGATCAATATCCTTCATCTCAGAATTTCGGATCATAAATAAAAGCAAACTTAATTCTTAACATTTCAGTGGGACACGATATTTCACACAAATTCCACAGCTTTTGAGTCATAGACAAAAAACTAGGAGAAAACAAAGGTACTTTATCTAATTTTTCTAGGTGAAACTCATATTCCAGGAATAATTGTTGGTGTAGCAACTCAAAAAACATACTTCACCAGAAACTCATAACTACCCAACAATTTGTTTCAAAACGCAGTCGTTCAACACGTATAATAGGTTAAGCGAGGACAACGCACCGTGTGGGTTGTTAACACTGTTGTTATCATGATGCTACACCATGCATGATATTGGATTGTTCAGGTTTGAGGTATGTCATGATTGGTTGTATATACAGGGTGTCCCATGAGTAATGGATCAAAAGAAGTGGGGTGGAAGGGGAGGTCATTTGTAATCAAACTAACGGTGTTATCTAATTGTTGATGGTTCAGAAGTTATTACATTTTTCTGAAAAATGCGACTCACCTGAAAAAAATTGATAACAAAAAGGCTGTTTGAATAACTCCATATGTTATACCATTTCGGAATCTGTATTAAATGAGCAACTTTTTCTTATGATAAGTTATCTTTGTGGGGTAGTTTTTGAATCTGCGAGCGGCAGTTGAAAATCGATTTAAATATTCGAAACAAATAAATATTTAAATCGATTTTCAACTGCCGCTGGCAGATTCAAAAACTACCCCACAAAGATAACTTATCATAAGAAAAAGTCGCCCATATAATACAGATTTCGAAATGGTATAACATATGGAGTTATTCAAACAGCCTTTTTGTTATCAATTTTTTTCAGGTGAGTCGCATTTTTCAGAAAAATGTAATAACTTCTGAACCATCAACAATTAGATTACAACATATACCGTTAGTTTGATTACAAATGACCTCCCCTACCACCCCACTTCTTTTGATCCATTACTCATGGGACACCCTGTATATATACCTTGTACCATCAATAAGACCGATATAGATTCTACCTTTACTCTGAACTGATTACTAAAACTACGAATTAGCCACAATGCTCAAAGTGGAATAAAATATGAAATAAATACAAAAGCTCAAAGTCCAACCAGTATACGATATCGGTTTGTATGATGTATCTTCTCTTCTTGTAAAATAATATAATATAAAGGGAGTTTGATATTGGATTTGATAAATCCCATTATTCAACAATAGATATTGAATATTTTAAAATTCCATTAGTTTGTGTACTGATACTTTGTATCTGAGTGAGCTCTCAGTCTAGTGATCAGGTTGTGATAGGATGAATGATCATTCCTATTTCAGGTTTGATAACGAGTTTTGGAATGTATAGTATAGACTTTCGAAGACTTATTCTGAGGGTTGCTCGTAATGGGGCAACCCAATGACGGATAGAACAATTTCAGAACAACAACAATAGTGGCAAACATCCAATTCAGAATCTATATTGTCTTTATTGGTAGTATACGGTATATATACAATCAATCATGGTAGCAATAATCCTGTTTATTCGAAGACGAGCGAGGAAGAGGATGATCAGGAGAGAACTTACCAGGATTCTGGAGATTGCGTTTGGCCGAGAGAGATTGAACTTCAAGTCATAGATGAGCATCGAGTTGGAGTTGCAGCAAGTTCGTGGTGGCGCAGAGAGGAACGCAGGAATAATATGTATTAATGTATTAAAATGCAACATTGAGGTTGGAAAATACTCACGATTCTATCGAAAATATATTTTAGGACATGAAAGTTGATCTATTCACTAAAAAGTCTGCTGCAGCTTTGTCAATCGAAATTCATAAAGTCAAGCAGGAATATAAATCAATAGAGGAATTCGGAAAGTATTGAAGAACAGCTAGTCAATACAACCTAATGTCAATCCAATGGAGATGATGATAGTGCAAACATTGCGTCGGAAGTTAACAATTAATTAACAAGTTGCAAATAATTCAAATACTTGGAGTTCATAGGTACCTTCTTGGTGTTTTTCATTCAAGAACGCAGTTCATACAGATACTCGATATACGCCCTACGAACTACTTGTTTTTGGAAAATGCTGTTTAATACGATCAAATTTGAATAACAGAATATACTCAATGTATAACGTTGATGACTACCCTATAGAAATGTGGTGTAAGTTACAAAAAGCGTGGGAAGATGCTAGAAATAACTTGATAGAATCGAAAGTTAAACGAAAATCCACATGGGATAAGAAAGTTCAGTCGGAGGTAAATTGTTTGAAGGACTCTATGAGGTTGTGGAAGAAAAAGGTCTTGATCTATTTATAAAAATTGATAATAATAAGCCTCAACTAGTTCATAAAAATAAAGTTAGTCTATTTTATGACAAGTCTCAGTTCAGTAAATATGAGTTGAAAAAAAAAACTCATTGAGATGAGTATTTTTTTCTCTTTCTCGGGGTAGGTGTAGTGTGTAAGCGAGGACTACGCATCGTTTGGGTTGTTAACACTGCGTTGTTATCAAGACGCATGGTGTATTCGTGATAATTGGGTTGTTTGGGCTAACGGTACATGTCATGTCATGATTGATTGTATATATACCTTATACTACCAATAAAGACGATATAGATTCTGAATTGACTTTGAACTGGTTAATAGGCTGTCTGCCACTATACATTCCAAAACTCGTTATTAAACCCGAAATAGGAATGATCATTCATCCTACCACAACCTGAAAACTCGACTGAAAGCTCATTCAGATACAAAGTTTCAGTACTCAAACTAATGAAATTTCAAAATATTCAATATCTATTGTTGAATAATGAGGTTGATCAACTCCAATATTGAACTCCCTTTTATATTATATATTATTATACAAACCGATATTTTATACTGGTTGTAATGCCATCGAGAGTGAAGGTATATATGTATAACGATGCAATAACCCTAGTGAGAATAAGTCATAGAATATTGTGAGCTTGCTGGAGAAAAACCATTCTTGAAGAGAAGTCGATTACCTACGAACCTTGAAAATTTCTTGACACTTCTACTCGACTCTAATCGAACATATGGTGAAGGAATAATGATATGAGCACAATATGCTGAATAAAACATATTTTTGAAAATCACTCACCTTCAAGATGCTGTCAAGATCATTGGATGGATCTTCATTGCCACTAAAATAAAACTTTTTTATTTTATCTACAGCTTTATTATACTGTTCGCTTCCTATTCGGAGATTTAGGGAATTTGGTACTAGTGACTCATCTACTAGGAGAGTGTTTTTCTTCCCAGTCGTACACAGTGAATATACGAACATTCCTTCTTTTTCCACGCATCCTGTGATGAATGGGACTTGATTGAAGTTTCCAGATTTAATTATATCCACTGGATTCTCTGTCAAGAAACCTGGCTCGTAGGTTGACTTCTTCTCAATTATTGGTCCAAACGGACGAAATTTTCCCACAAGAAATGGCTGAAATGTTAGCGTTATCATATTCATTATCCATGCACAGAATGACTGAGTAGAGTGATGCCACATTTCAACTCAACTTACATCTGGTACTCTTTCCATACCACCGATCAATTCTTCCACTGACATTTCTTGCAAATGTTTCAGTAATACTCTGTCATCGTTAGTATAAATTCCCAAGGCTTCTGCTAAATGTCTGACACCATCGCTTCTACATGTGGCCCAATGATTCGTTGCACAACCACTTTGAGCAATTGCTTTGTGGAAGAGGCCTGAAACAATAAGTTGTGAACATAAAAACACAATTTGGAAATATAAAAATTATCACATAATATATATGATGAATAGGAACATGTTTTGACAAAAACATTTTCGACGAAATTTTGTAGATGAAGAATTCTTCTACCCTAATAATGGTTGCCAATGGATTTGATGAAACGATTGAATCCTTGTATAGAAAAATGTTCCGAAGGAATGAACGGATTGAGATCAGACAATTCCAAATATTTGAAGGATCTGTACCTATGATTGATCATTTTTTGCAAATGAAACCAACAAAATATGACTGAGGTGTATTTGAGTGTTCAATTGAGAGTTTTCAAGTAGATGCTCCTCTGTTCGTTTCTGATCCGTCAATGAGGTGTACCTTCACTATTCTAATTAGGGTGAAATCTTGTTTTGTTTCGATGTTGATCTTTTGTATCATGGTTTCTATATTTCAACTAAATCTGAAATAAGAGAATGATGTCAATTGCGTATATTATAAGGTCCAAGATATGAGATATCGGATAAACTGTCGATCTCATATTCCTTTCTCTTGAACGAGCTCAAAAATAGCAGAGCAGACCAATTCAAATTATATTGGTTTGAAATAACCGCTGGCGAATCAAGGACTGATCAGTATTATAAACCATATTACTTGATTTCAAGCCAATCCATTTCTGATGAGAATGGGCTCTAGAATGTATAGATCGGAGTTATCGTCCAAACTCAATTGATTATAATCAGCATGGAATAGTAATATGTAATGTCAAGACAGTCGAAAATAAAATGGCGGATGTATGCAAACATCCGCTGGCAAATCAGACACTTACTTTTTGCAAAATTGTCATATTCCATTCAAAGTCAATCGTGTTTCGAAGAGAATGGCTTCTATCAAGTGAAATTGAATTGAAGGTAAAGAAGATATTCACACACATTCAGAACTTGTTTTTGAAAAAAATATGAATAAAGAATGTATGTATGTGAAATTTATTGATTCTCAAAAACCATTGGCTAATATTCATCACTCATTTGTCTCTTCAAATGTGCTAGTTTCTTTATATCTATCCATTACGTAACAAATTGAGTTTTAGAATGAGGAGATCGAATGAAATTCTTGAGAATATCTATATGTATTCGAAACATGTTTTGGTAGCAAATTTATACCTATATAAACTCTGAACCAAACAATTTTATATTGATGTGTCGGTATTATATAATTCTCTATTTAATATTATCTGATTGTAGGATATTCTGCGATTGATTGTTAATCTATTATATGAGATATATTATTGTTGGAAATATTTTTTTTACAAATCAGGAAATCATTGTTGAAATATTCAACAGAGAACAACTATATACTATACTGGCAAATACCACAGAATATTGAATAATATCTGGCAAATTGTAGAAATACCTAATTTGAACAAAATGAAAAATGTACAGTAATAATTGTCTAGATATCTAACAGAAAACAACTCCTTTCCTGGCTACTACCACACAATATTGAATTATATCTGTCAAAAATAAACTAATGGTTTTATAAATCTATTTCAATAATTCTTCTATCTTGGAACAAATATAGACCATAATTAGATATTAAAAAACTTCGATGAAAGGTAAGCAACAGAATCATTGCAATGAAGTTGAATGAAATGTGTTTTTTTTTTTGGTCGACCAAACTACTGACATAAACGATTCTGCTCGATGCGCAGAAATCCCCCAAGCTTCATACGTGACTTTTTTCACGACCACTATGGAAAATAGGAAACAACACACGATACACAGCCCCTGTAAGTAGCTCATTTCTCACGGTAAGCAGAACGCACAGTTAAAATTCTTTTTATGTATAAATATGTATTCGAAATAATAGTGGTACTATCTCATGTATTAAGATATTACATTGTTAAATGATTGGACATATCCTACATATTCATCAGAGTTTTGAAATATGATATTATATATTATTTCTGGCAAAATGGAAAACTTTTGGAAAAAAGTGTTAGATACCTAACCGCTTATATGCATAATGGTCATGTCATTCTAAATCACTCAGTACATCATTATTCTCATATTTTAATGTCATTTTAGAACTTGCTTCTCTTTGTCTCAAATTAAATAAGACGATGAGCACGTGTATTTCTTTAAATCGCCTTCTGCAGGCGAACTCTATATTGACAGTGCATTTTTGCAGTTGCATTCTTTTTGTTGATGCACTTTCTCACAGTTCACTCAATCTTGGATCGAAATGTTCAAGTAATCGCAACACATAAAGGTCAATCAACCCTGTTCCATCGAAATTACTCTCGCTCCTCCATTGGTTCACAACATCAAATTGGCGCAGTCATCATCGGTACGATCGATCCTCACGAATTTCAAAGAAAAAAATACTGACAAAATCAGCAGATTGGAGATGGTCCTTCGAACGAAATTGGCAAGTTTCAACTTCTAAGACGTCGACGAATCTTCAAGAAAGGAACCGGTATTTTGAAGTGGTAGGTAGTGGACAGTCTACAAAGGAACTTATCTTCCGTTCTGGTAAGTGGTCACACGGATACAAGTTAGGACAAAAACTTCATTTACTTCAGCTAGATACTCATTTCTTCCTATCATATTGTTTTTACTATGCTCAATCAATAAATCTTAGAAAAATCTCGAAAATGTTAACAAATTTAATCACAATGCCTGATGAAGCACAACCTGCAAATCCAATCCAACCGCATAACGCAGAACAGTATACAATGTCTTCCATATGTTCACTAATTCCAAGATGTTCTGAAGGAAACAGTGCATGAATTCATAAGTAACTGTGACAACGCATAGATACTTTCGCAAATGATTCACAAAAAAACATCACTTTTAGCATTCATAATTTATCAACTATCTAGTTGTGCTTGCTTCGCGATTGAACTCTCAGTCTCATCATGCATCAACTCCAAAATTTTGAAAATTCTGCAAGAAGAATGATTATACTTTGAAGGATTATCGAATAAGAAATAATCGTTTTTTTCCTAACCAAAACAATCAAATTCCAAACCCAAGACAGTCAAATAACTCGTCAAATCAAATTAATTCCAGAGCTATCAGATCAATTCTGTCGTTATTGTAAAAAATGGTTATTCAATAAAGGAATGTAGAGAAAGATAATACAATGACAATAGAAATCAGAATACAAATTCGCAACCAAGTACGTCCAGCAATCAGAATCAGTAAACTCCACGAGATCCCAGATCAACGTCGTGTCTTTGAATTTTCTATAAATGAATTCGACGTAACACGAAGGACCTGAGAAACTAAGTCAAGCTCAGAAACCCACTCAAACTCAGGAATACATGAAACCGAATCTCATAATCAGAGTCAAATACAGAAATCGAACAAAATCAGAAGAGACAAGTTGATATTCATATGATTCGAGATAATAGTTGTTTTATCATAACAGCATACCAAGGTATTGAATTCAAATTTCTCATCGACATAGGTGCATACATATCCATAATAGAAGCCGATGAAATTAAACGAACAGAATCTTCCTATAATCCCAATGAGAAGGTAATGCTGAATGGTATCGACACAAACTCTTCAATTCTTGCGGTGGGCAGTAAAAACCCCAAGCATCAAGTGAACAAACACGGATTCCCTATCAAATTTCACATCGTGAAACAGGAGACGAATATTATATGGTATCATATAGAAAACGATTTCCTTATCACTGAAGAATCTGCAAAAATCGATCTTGGCAAAAATGAACCTAGATCAGAAAATGCTATCCAAATGAATGTCAAAAATGATAATCTGAAAGGAATTGGTCCAGAAATGAAAATGTCAACAGCTGATAACAAACCGATGTTTCCCAAAATCTATAGATTTCCTCAAATCTTTGAAATCAAGCAAGGAATCATCAGACCATCAGTATCACCCTCTAACAGCCCCTTCTAGGTGGTTCTCGAAAAAGTCTGTTGCTTCAAACGAGGAAAAAATTTAGAATAGTAGTCGATTACAGGAAATTGAACAAAGTAAGCATAGGCGATGCATATCCTTCACCTAATATCGAGGAGATTCTAGATCAGTTAGGTCATTTTAAGTATTTCACTACTTAGTTGGACTTAGCTTTCCTATTTCATCAAATTGGCATTAAAGAATCTGACATTCCCAAAACAGCTTCCTCATCCCCTTCTGGCCATTTTGAATTTAATTGAATGAGTTTTGGTTTGAAAACAGCACCAGCTAAATTTCACAGATTGGTCAACGTTATTATGACAGGTCTTTGTTGGAGACTCAAATTGGAAAAATACTGATACACAATTCAATACAAACCTGAAAGAATCAACTCAAACGTTGATGCACTTTCTATAAATCCCGTCCTTACGATTCAAACCTATGATCCGATACATATGATAATTTCATCAGGTTTCACTACACCAATTCCCAACTTCCAGAAATAGAAATAATGAGAGATAACATTTCGAAATATTTTTCGAATATATTCCTATTTTCCAAAGATTCAGATGAAAATAACGATTTCTATGAAAATTTCAGTAAATCGTATGATTTCAATCAAATGTTCTGCGATGATTTGTCACTATATTATGTTGTTGAACTAACTAACGAGAAAAAATCACGAAATCACAAAATCATAATGTGCATCAGATTTTCATGAAACAACAAGTTCAAATCATATCAGATGATATATCTTGAGGTAATCAGTCATACCTAGCCTTGAAAATCAATGAAGGAAAATTGAATACGAATATTGAAAAATCCAATTGATTTCCTAAAACCACATTGAATGCATTGAATGGATTACGGTACACACAAACTATTACAGATCATGTGAACTTACTGGACCAACTGATAAATGAATCGAACAAGGAATATGATATTGTTATACTGATATCTTATACTGTTTTCTTAACAAAATGAACCCACATGTAGGGCTGAATTTGTTGAATTAGTTTAACTAATCAAATGACAATCGACAAATGACAATTGACAACAATGCGGAGATACGCTTTGCTGGTTGGCACACCGTGATGTCGAGTGAATGTTATGAAAAATGGTTCGTCAAAGTCTACTCCACAACGCGAAAATGACTTCACCTGGGAAATGCAGGAACTTTACCCATAAGGGGTGAAAAATTCGTGGATTTATTTTCCAACATCGCAAGCAATTTGAAAGAACGTTATTGATTGCCCTCTTTGGAGATAACATTCCAAATTGTTGGGAAAGCAAGAAATGAGATGCACGAACTCCGGAATGGAAAAACCTTTCATGGAATGTTTGATCAGTAGCCTTGTTAGGCGAGCTTGGCGTATCAACAGAATATGATATTTAGCCGAATGAGATAACGAAGCATAATTATATGCTTCAAGCGTCCGCCAACTCGATGCCCTCGTTATCGATGAAAACTTGTAATTTTTTGAAAGGTTTCCATACATTTTTGCCACTTATTTCGTCTTCAAAAAAATATTGTAAGGTGTGCTTGACAAAAGTTTTTAGTGACCTGTGAAGTTCAGTATTTTCAAGTATTCCACCAAATCTTTCAGGAGGTTTCCTGAGGTTTCCTGACATTGCGGATAAATCTCAAAATATAAGAAACAATAATTTGTATCGTCCGAAAGCATGTGTGATTTGTAAGTATATCTCCGATGAAGTTATGAGGAAGTGGAGCAATAAGTACAGTTTTTGTTCCCTTTTCAAACGGATCTGGAAATGGAAATGAAGGCGCAATTGGCCACAAGCTCTCGGTTTCTAGTAGAAATGGAGGGACCTCAAGCCACATAGAGTGAGAGAGCAGTGCCGAGGGGGAGACTCCTCTGGATGCAATATCAGCAGGATTGTTGGCCGACTTTACATAAGACCAAGAAGACGGTGAAATGTTTTTTTTTTTGTAGGAATGAGACTCGGTTGGAAACAAAAGTAGGCCATCGATGGGGTTAAACTTTTATCCAATGTAAGGTGATCTGCGAATCTGACGAAGCACAGATTCTTGAATAGGTGAATTGATTAGAAAATGTCCGAATTACGTAAGAAATTAGCCTGGTCAACAGCACAGCACCGCACAGTTCAAGTCGAGGAATAGTCATCAATTTAGAAGGGGCGACTTTAGATTTTGCAGGAATGAAACTGGTCCATATACGATTATTTTCATCACACGTGAGAAAATATATATCACGTAGGCATGAAGTTCATAGTTGACTGAAGAGAAGTTGACGAAATTGCGAGGAATTTTCAAATTAATTAGATAGAATTGATAATTCTGATTGAAACTTAGACCGAATGCTTACGATCTTATTATCAGCTTTTGAGTGAGACGTTCGCAAAAAATTTTACTGAAGGAATGAAGCCGAGCAGATTATATATGCGCGACAATTCTGATATATATGCGCGACAATTCTGATAATAAGGTGCGTTTTGTAACACATCGGTTTTTCAGAGAATTGACAGATAATAAGTAACAATCAAGAAAGGGGTTCCACCTTGAACCCAATATTTTCAAGCACGTTTCTTGCGAGTCTGAGTTAAATATAAGCGGATCCAGTGATGAATAGGAAACGGGTAAAGCAGAGAGCAGAAATGTTTCGGTACTTGACCATTTTCTTAGCTCGAATCCACCCCGGCTCATTAGGGCAATAAGCTCAGTCATGAGTGTTTGGGCATTCTCGAGAGTAGGGCAGGATGATACATAATCATCAATGTAACAAAAATTATAAGAATAGCATGGGAGACAAGAGGAAATTCCCTACCTTCATATTCGGCAAGTTGTTTCAAGGGGTCACGCACGTCAATATTCGGAAAATATTTCTCCACAATTTAAATCATCTGGACTAGATGATAGAGCATTTGAAACATTTTCAGTCTCCCATAATCGGGTCAAAGTAAATTGGGCGGTTTGATTTCGAATCGGAAGTGATTTTCAACCTATTTTGACTCCTAATTTCATTTTCCGGAAATTGGAGTGGTTCCATGGCTGTTGGCGAGCAGTGTATATCACTGAAGATGACCTCACTTGGTCATTGAGTGCATTTTTGGTATATCTCTCGCTCCAGCCAATTTCAGGATCCTTACCCAACGATTACGTAAGATAGAGGGGTGTTTCCATTAGAAGTGGATCACACTATATGTAGGTATATGTATATATACAGGGTGTTTCATGAAAAGACTCACATAGTCAAATGGTTAATAGGAGATATCAAGACAAGTTGATGGTGATATATGAAAACATTTTTTGACTCTCCATAACGAAGATGGCCGATATTACAGAAATGATTCATCGTAATCTGCTGAAATTCGGCAGCGACGTATCTCTACTGAAACTATTCAAGGTAGCATATCATAAAAAGAAATATCCAGGTCCGGACTTGGGAAAATTTCATGTTCATTGTTATGTCAAAAAAGTTCACTTTGTGAGCACTTCTTTCGAAAAATTCCATCAGAATCCGAAAGATCAGACAAAATGCTATAAGAACTGCTCTTCAATTTACACGGCACACTTTGACCGGTTCAATGAAAAAATATGGAACAAAATCGTTCGAATGGATTTCAAATTTCGACCTGGCTGATAATTGTCAACTTTCAACTGGTATCATGTAAATTGATTTTTCTACATTTTTGTTGACTATTAATTGACAGGAAGATAAACGAGAAGAAGAAACACGATTTTTTTATCGAAATTCCAGATAGATATTCCTATTCCTGACTTTGTTTTATGTGTGTCGCTTGAAGTAATGATAAGATATCTAGTAGGCCTTGTTTTTTATTTGTGTGAGGAGAAGTGACGTTTGTTGAAAATTCGAACTGATAGGTAGGTACTAGGCTAGTACTAGGTAGGAAGCAACTGATGAAATTACGACATGAGGATTCATGTGCCCATATTATGGTGATTCATCAAATTAGTTAAGCCATCACGCATAAACTTAGCTCCATTTCTTGTTATTGATACACTTCTGCAAATGCTATAAGGATGCATTTGCTATTTATTCAAAGTTCCTAATGTTCATCCTCGTGAAGGTTAATTCTCGCCCGACAAAATTTGTGAGATATACATATTATTGAGTACTCTCAGAGGAACACATTCATAGAAGATAACTCCCATCCACGTGTATTTTGAAAAAGTCATGATTTTTTGAAATTTTGAAAAATGGGGTCTGTGGGGATAATTCTTGCCCGACAAGATATTGTGAGATATACACATTATTAAATACTCTCACAAAACACATTAATTAAAAAACCCATCCACGTGTATTTCGAAAAAGTTATGATTTTTTTTCGAAATTATGAAAAATGGGGCCTGTGGGGTTAATTCTTGTCCGAAAAAATATTGTGAGATATATACATCATTAAGTACTATTAGAGGATGACATTCATAGAAAAAAACTCCCATCCACGTGTATTTTGAATAAGTTGTGATTTTTTTCAGAAATTCCGAAAAAGGAGGCCTGTGGGGTCGATTCTTGCCCGAAAAAATATTGTGATATACACATTATAGATAGATTAGATAGATAGATTCTTTATTGCGTTCACAGACATTAGAGTCCTATAGCAAGGATTCGGTTAATTCTGATGATCACTTTACATGGAAATGTGTACAATGCGAATTGTAATAATCGTCACTATTAATATATACAAATATAAACAGTTTTGATCAATAACAAAAATACGAACAGAAAGAAAGAAAGAAGAAATGAGGCAAAGTTGATGATATCACGAAGTGCTACTCGTATCTTGAAAATGCTCTGGTTTTTAGTATATTCCATATCTAGTTGGCGATATTTTTGCATTCAAGTAAAGTAAGATTGTCGATGAAGTCAATCAACGAGTGGCTATTCGGAGTGGCTATTCGGGAGATGATCACTGTTTGGCATTCTGAAACTATTGTTAAATCGGACAATTGAACAAAATATGCTGCAACGTTCCTGCAGAATTCAAATTAAAATTTAACATATCTCATTGGTATTTATATTATTATATTTTATAGGTGAATTTAATGAAATATTTTTCACATATTCTTAACTGCGATATTGTGCGAATGATCTGAATGGGCAAATGGAAATGTAGATAGTTAGCCTCAGCTTTTGTGACAGTTAGTTATTTTAGTGTTTATAAAATAATTGGTTTGGTATATTTTCATTCATTATCAATCATATTATACATCATTTGATGAAATAGTGAGTGTTCGTTTTGCCAGCGGGTTTTAGATATCGATGATATTTGCATGTATCCGGATTCGGAATTATCGACTATTCCATTGGAACTTTATTCTATCAGCACTCAGAATATGACAAGAAAATTGAAATTGGTTGGAAAATGACGTGGTGAATGCTCGATCAATTTCTCCAGTTTAATGCATTTGCAAATTCAGTTTTGAAGAAATGTGAATTTCTTTTTGACTACTACTTTGAATTATCACGTTTCTAGAAATGAACGAAAGTGCAATTATGCAACACGGATTAATAAATGGTGTTTAAATGGTAAGAGACGGGAGTAAAAAAATGTTCGTTTTTTCGACCACCCAATATGTTCATGGGTTATATCAATTGCATTATGTTCGATTATATTTACCTCTCGCCATTGGGGATAACATAAGGAGGTGGACTGCAGCTCCACCTGCACTCTCTCCAAAAATTGTTACATTATTTGGATCTCCGGAGAATTGAGATATGTTTCTTCTCACCCATTGCAGTGCCATGACAATATCTTTCAAACCTGCATTCCCTGGTACACCAAGCGAAGAGTCTTGTAGGTGTAAAAATCCTAGGAGAATATTCAATTGTTGAGAAGCACTAGAATTAACATCATTTTATAAAGTGTGAACATACCAAGTGGTCCTATCCTGTAATTTAGTGTAACTAAAACTATATCTTCTGTCATGAGGAAACTTGGATCGTATATTTCTGACCGGCTGGAACCTGAAGTAAATCCACCACCATGTATCCATAACATAACTGGTCGCAGGCTTCTACTACAAATCTACAATGGTGATAATGAAACAGCATGGTTCCGTCGATATTGCCCGGAATAAACAACAAGACTTATACAGTGGACGATTCAGAATTGCTTCGAATAATAATCATCGGAAAGCATATAGAGTGATGGGGATTTATCATATATTTTCCCCTCTTCTGTAAATTCATGAGCCAGTCAGTAGATTTGAGCGGAACTATGGGTGAAAAATTAGAGTTCTATGGAATAAAAACTCTGACTCGCGGCGGCTGGTAGAAAATAGCATTGGTGGGGTAGGTGCTATCAAAAAATAGTTTCAATGACATATGTTGCGGAAAAAAGTGTGAAAAACTCTAGTATTTGGGGCGCGCCAAATGTGATTTCGAATTCTATCGCGAATTGAGACAAACATGGCTTCCAAACAATTCTGTAATATTTTGGGTCATAAGAGTCGCCACCTGCCCAATTTGATACACTTCATCGAATATAGTGAGATATTTCATTGTTTGAAGCGCGCTTCTACATCACCTGATATCAAAGTAATTTTTTATCATCCTGATATACGGTCAACATTTTCTCATTAGTGTACATTTGAACTTCTCAATTTTTGTGCAAACTCAATACAAGTAAATATAATCTTGGAGAATTTCGACTCATCCCATGATGAAATTTCCAAATGTGAAATATGATACAAAATATTGAGAGGTCAATAGTCACCAAAATTGTCGATATTATTGATATCTGATATTTTGTTTCGAAGGATAGTATAAAATATAAATCTTCTCACCTTAAATCCAATGTTTGATATTTCAAATACAAGGTATTATTGAATCTCCCAAAGTCCAATATTCTCTTGTTCCCAATTAGTATTATATTGACTTATCCCATTTTTGTTGTGGTAATTTTGGTTGTATTAAAAATAACAAGAATAAATACGACACATTTTGAGTACTGATTCGATATTATGTATCAGTGCACTTTGACCTTGAAATCCGATCTGTGTCGACGAGATGTAAGCTCGCATCACCAATCCAGCGCTATCGAGCGGCGAGTCGCGGAAGCACGAAGAGCGTCACTTATTGGTGAATGGAGGTCAATGAACTCAATATAAATACCAAAGGATCCTTTGTGAACGACGAGTGAGACAAAAATATTGTTCAAGCAATCCGTAAGGGTTACGGATACCTATCTCTTTCTATCTTATGTTGGCTAATGGGAAGCGCTCGCATTATTTGGAATATTTTCTTGTTCTCTGCTTTTATTCGAAAGTATACGAGATTGAATATGAAAAAAGGATAATGTTGCAATCAATTAATGTTTGAAAATTATTATTGATTTTTTCATTGACTGAAAAGTGAAATTCCATTTTCATCCTGACAGGATTAGGAAGGCAAATGAATACGAAATTGAAATTATATATGCTCATTCAAATGTCACAATATATTATACAGGATGAGCGGAGCTCAATGTGTCAGCACAATCAGAAGAAATAGAAAAACGATAAAAAAATTTTGATAAGAGGTAGGAGGTAGGAAGTGGATGAAAGGTGAATGAAAAGTGAATGAAAGTACAATTTTAGGACGAATTTTTTCAATAAAGATGAAAATCTGCATCGCCCCCAGAATGTACCCCCCTCAAAATGTATAGTTTTTTTCAAACTGCAGTGAAAGTGTGAGGAAAATATGAAATATTTTATTCCTGATGTTTGTTTGTGACCCTTGAGAATTCCCTGTCAGAGTTTACAAAATCGATATACAGAATAAACTTCTCGCTATAAATTAAACTATCAAAATTTTTCAAGAACGTTCCTGGATTATTCCGATTCTGAAAAAGTCAGTCGATTAGAGAGTAGTAGCGGAATATTCCATGTAAAAATTGGACGAATCGAAGAAGCTATTGGAAAGTTATGACCAAAAGATGTTTTTGCTAAATCTCATGATTCACCCTATATATTAGAAAAGAAGTGAAGAAGACACTTTCTGATGGACATTCGGTATTGCCCTCAGGAGCCTCTATCCGAGGCAGGAATATGTACAGTTCCTCATTACTAACCCTGCATGATGAATCATTCACAACAAAATGAAAACAACAAGAAATCATCGACATGGTCGATATAAATCATAATGAATTTCATTCATAGTTGAGAGTATTTCGACTCGAAATATCATAGTAAAAGTATATTATATATTCTTTTGAATATCGAAAATGCTCAGATTTTTTCACTATTCCTACTAGAGTGCAATTATCAAATAAAAATTATCAATGTGCAATTATCAATTATGAAATGAACTTTTTGTTTTCAATGACTGTGTTTATCCACACAATCAACAAATATCATTAATCAAATATTGAGTAGAAGATTGGTTAACTCTCAACTTTTTACATTAATTGAACCATCTTTTCTAATTGTGCGCGTCTAGTACGCTGATGACAGAGGATTGGTCCGTCTTATGATGAAAATTAACCCCAAAATATTTTCTGGCTTCATGTTAACTCTTCATTATCGTTAATTCGTTTTGTGGTACATGAGTATAGTGCAAAAATGATAAGATATTTGACTATGGAAACTTGAATTTGAAAATTTTAACGCTAGCAGGAGTATACATAATGGAAGCTTGCACATATATCTACCGGAATAGGAATACTTTAGCTGCTAATAGAGCCAATCATAATCATTCTACCCGAAATGCCCACTTGTTATTACCAAGTCAACATCGCACAGCTCTTTACCAAAGAAGTTTTGAGTTTCAGGGATACAAAATTTTCAATAAACTACCCGATAACATAAGAAATTCTGGAAATTTACATATCTTCAAATCAAAACAGAAACAACTTCTTCTGTCAAAGAACTGCTACAGTATAGATGAATTTTATCTGTAATCCTGTACCATATGTTTATACCCTAACAACACAGGGATGTTCTAGGTACGTCCCTTTTTTGTCCCGCGGTACAAGGACATGATTGGGACATCCAGGGGATATCCTGCAGGTTGTCCAGTTCATCCCTAGGTTATCCTATTCATCGTGTCCCTGGAGTATCTGATATCCATTCACATCAGAGTCATTGAATTTCATCAAACTATAGAGTTGAATTTTTTTGTAAATGTTTGTTTTTCTTCCGGAAAATGATTGTAATGAAAATAAAGAATAAAGTCTCAGAACTTCTTGAGAAATTACCATTTTTCGCAGACAGAAATCGTACATGCATAATGCCCCTCATTTTTGAACACCCAAGAATGATAATAATTATACCCAATTCCTAACAAAGTTGTATTTATTCAGGTTTCTGTAGTTAAGTCCTGTTTATAAATCTGTTTAGTACATAAATCTTCAGGAGGCATGATAGACAATGGAGCAAGGTGCGTGCAAGATAAGCCAAAGGTCCCGGGTTCAATCCCTACTCGACCTACAACTTATTTTTTCTTTTGTCGGATGTCCCTGGGATATCCTTGGGGCGTCCTAGGGATATCCTTTCATCGTACTTGGTACATCCTAGTGACGTACCAGAAGGACATCCCTTGGATGCCTTTTTTTGTGGCCAGCGAATGTCCCAGGGACATCCCTAGTATGTACGTTGTTCCGACAATGGACATCCCTGGGATGTCCTAGTATAAAATCAGGAACGTCCCTGAGAAGTCCCTAGGATGTACTGGTGTTGTTAGGGTATAGAAGGGAATTACTTACATTATATCATTGTAGAGGAGTTTCTCTCGTGATTTGCCATTTGTACTTTCATTTATACATATTTGTCAATTTTATTTATTACGTGTATGTGTTGTTTCCATACCTATATCCAGATTCATTTATCTATATTTGTCATTTCATCTATATATCTTTTATTCTATATGTTATATGTATAACAATGTTTCGTACTTTTTGACGTTTTACTCTTTTTTATTTGTATTACCACGCTGTTGGTGTGCGAAGTAATTTGAGAAAATGAAGAAATTATTATTATTATTATTATTTTTATTATTATTATTATCATCATGATAATTCCATCCTTGTGGACCTTGTTTGTCAATTTTCTTTCCAATATGATGATAAAGGAAACAAGGATTGCAAAGATGAAAACATGAAGGAGAATTTGTGAAGTTTCATTGCATTCACTCTCAACGATGATTTTTTTTGTCTCTTGAAGCACGAAAGAAAACTGATATTGCAATTGATGGAATTATAGCGAATATTGCGTAGGAAAATTGCCCGTGGAAGTATCCATAGAAAAGTGAAAGGTCGCGCTGACTATTTTACGGTGTTCTGATGGGATCAAAGATTTAGTGAGTGTGGCATCACCCACCAGGCGAATGGCTCTTCTCTGGATATAATCCAAGAGCATCAGGGTATGTTTGGGTAGTGAACCCCATACATGAGAACAGTAGTTTTACTCACAGCCTGTTTTGTTACAGTCAATACAGCACTGAGACGAGATGAATCGTTTTGAGGAATAAATATTAACCATACAGCAAGTATTTATGTTCACAGAGAACTTGATTCGTTGTCCCATTCAGCTGATAATAGACTGACGGTTTTCATTCAAAAGTACTGTTGAATCAGGACCTGAATTTCATTTCAAATTTGTTTTGCATCTAGCAACTTTTGATCTTCAAATATATTTTCCCACTATTGCAGAACAATAGGAAATATAAGTCCCCCATGAGCCAGCACTGCATTATAATCACACTGGAACTAATTGAACATGATTATGAGGGACAATGAAGAAATAGAAGGAAGCAGCCAAGAATCTGAAATCGAATCCTGTGAAATTATGGAACAATCCATTGAAATTTCTGAAGAGGCCGGCATGTATTGATTAACTTCAATTCATCATTCGTTTGCTATCTTGATTAATGTGATTTTGATCCACTTGCTCAACTAGATAATAATATCTCATTTCATTAATCTTCTTGAACAGTAATGTGGCAGTGCAGTCACAACGGAATTAAAATCAAATAACCACTTCGAATTGAAGATGAAATGAAAATATGAAGAATAAATTGAGATAATGACGAAACTGTCATCAGCTTCTG